TGTGGGCGAAAGGAAACGCTGCTAAGAACGCGAAGTACAGAGAGAGCGAGCGCATCCCCAGGTGTTTGCACTCGCTGCCGCTGCTACCGCGGAGGCCTTCCCAGGAGACCCTCTGCACCTCACAGCCAGGCAGGTGGGCCGGCGCTCCCCAATGACCACGTGCAAGCTTCATTTATTTATTTTATTTTCTCTTAATCCTCAAGCGAGGGTACTTTCCAATTGATTTTTAGAGAGTGGAAGACAGAAACATTGATGAAACACATTGATTGGCTGCCTCTTGCATGCGCCCTGGCCAGGGAGGGCCCAGGCTGGGGAGGAGCCTGTAACTGAGGTACGTGACCTTGACTGGACCCTTCAGTCTTTGGGCCAGCACTCTATCCACTGAGCAACACCGGCCAGGGCTCAGCCCCACTTTCTTTTTTTTTTTAGAATTTTAAGATCTGGTGCATTGAGCCTGTGAGTACCCCAGATTAATTTCAGAGAGGAAAGGAGAGGGAGAGAGAGAGATATAGAAACATCAATGTTGGGAGAGAATCATGGATTGGCTGCCTCCTGCACTCCCCCTACTGGGGACCAAGCCTGCAATCCCAGCATGTGCCCTTGACTGGAATTGAACCCGGGACCCTCCAGTCTGCAGGCGGACGCTCTATCCACTGAGCCAAACCAGCTAGGGCTCAGCCCCACTTCTGATGATGATGAAAGATGGCTGTCCTTCAACCAAGCCTGCAGGCAGGTCACTGGAAATGGCATTATGGGCTTATTCTAACAAAAACCTCTCCCCGCTTTCACACTGCCAGTCCTAGAAGTTCCTGGCCTAAACCTACAGGCGCTCTTACGGAGCACGCGCAGGACTCGGGCGGGCAGCCGCGGGCCCATTCTGACGGCTGTTCGTTTTGGCACTTCCCGAGCTGGGCTATTCCCGTCTCGGCTGCGATCTCCGGTGGGCGGGTAGGGAGTGAGTCTCTGAGCAGAACTGGGCCCCGAGTATAAACATCTCCTGGGCTCGGGTCACTCTCGCAGACGCAGGACGGCCCAGAGGCGGGCAGAGGCGGCACTTAACCCGGATTAGCGACAGAACAGAACGGGCGGCTGGAGCGCTCCGTGTTTATCAGGAGCCTTCAAACCGGAACTTTTGTTTTTTTTTCTAATCCTCACCTGAGGATATTTTTTGCATTGATTTCCAGAGAGAGTGGAAAGGAGGGGGGAGGGGGGAGGGGAGAGACATTGATGTGAGAGACACACATCACTGATTGCCTCCCACGTGTCCCAACCAGGGCCAGGGATCGAACCTGCAACCCAGGTACGTGCCCTTGACCTGGAATCGAACCTGCGACCCTTCGGTCTGCAGGCCGATGCTCTAACCACTGAGCGCCCGGCTGGGCTGGCACTTTGGTTTTATAAACTTAGGGGATGCTTCACCCCCACACGCCGTGCTCCGGAGGGGGGCGCCCTCCCCGTCTGCGGGGGAGCGCTGACCTGGGACATGGAGCCGCGCGGGCAGCAGCCTCCGCGGAGTGTGTGGCTGTGATCGGGGTAAGGATTTCGCTGGAAGAGGCCCCTCGCCTGCTTCCCTATGAGACTGGTTCGAATGGAGACATCGTTAGTGTAGAGAGAGAAGATACTAGAACAGCTACTCTACAGAGAGTGTGAGGGGAGGCTGCTGGGATGGGCGGGGCCGGGACGGGGAGGTGAGGCAGGGACAACGGTCATACTCCTCTTGCTCCCCAAAGAAGAACAAATGAAGGTAACCGTGATGTGGGCGGGAAGGTGACAGGAGTAGAAACAGTCACAACTGAACCTGAATGGGTTACAGGCGCATCCTACCGCCTCGGGAAGGGGGGGCGGAAACAACGCCGGGAGCTGGGGAAGCGGGCCCACAGTTAGGCTAACGCAGACCTGCTCCGCGGGAGCCGCTCGGAAAGCCTGCACGTTGTCCCGGGACTGAACGGTGAACTCCGGTGGGGAAGGGGGGCCAGGTTGTTTGTTGTTTTTATTTTTAAAAAAATACGTATTTTTATTGATCTCAGAGATGAAGGGAGAAATAGAACCAGCAATGATGAGAGAGAACCATGGGCCGGCTGCCTCCTGCACGCCCTACACTGAGGTGGAGCCCGCCGCCCGGGCCTGTGCCCTGACCGGAATGGAACCGGGACCTTCCTGGTTCATAGGTCGACGCTCAACCACCGAGCCAGGTTTTTACTGTGACGTAAGGGGCTGCGCCTGGCTCGTCCCGCGGGGAAAGGAAGGAAGAGCTTAAACCACAGCGGCTTATGGAAAGGGCACAGGAGGCCCGTGCACGGAGCCCCAAGGGCCAACGCGGGGACTCTGAGCGACAATAACGTATTAAAGAGTAATGTGCTTTACATGCATCATAAGTACATTAATGGGGTAAAAATAAACAGCCACGAGTTCGCCCTGGATAAAAGCTGAGGAAGTGAGGAGGGAGAAGAACAGCTCCCTCAGAGGGAACGGACAGTGACGCGGGGAAGGAAGGAGGCGGAAGGCCGCCCCCAGGTGGACACCGCAGCAGGATGCTCAGGCAGAAACCGTGAGCGGCGCTGAGATCCCGGAGCTCAAGGGTATTTGCGGCGCCTCCAGGAGACTCGTTAGTCATCAGAGAGGAAAACGGTCACAGCTCGTTGGCGGAGGAGCCGGCAGACAGCCCTCTGGTGCGGATGGAAGTTCAGGCGAGGCAAACGCACAGGGGTGCCCTCCCTCCCTCCCAGGGGTGGGGCTCAGAGACAGGGATCCGGGTTTCTGCAGCATTTTAATATCAAAATATATTTCTATTGATTTCAGAGAGGAAGGGAGAGGGAGAGAGAGACAGAAACATCCACGATGAGAGAGAATCATGGATCGGCTGCCTCCTGCACCCCCCACACTGGGGATCGAGCCCACAACCCAGGCCTGTGCCCTGACCGGGAATCGAACCGTGACCTCCTGGTTCATAGGTCGACGCTCAACC